CGCCGCCGCGTCGTCGTCCGCCTCGTCATCGTCGTCCACCGCCTCCACCTCCAGGACACCCTCCCTGGCCTTAAGCAGCTGCTATTCACCGGTGGCGGCAGCGGCGCAGAGCTCGCTCTACAGCGCCCCCTGCAGTCAGGGCGTCAACACAACCAGCAGCGCGGGAAGCGCGGCCTCGCCAGCGGGCGGAGGCACCAGCACTGGCAGCAGTTACCACTGCAACTTGCAGGCCATGAGCCTCTACGCGGCAGCGGCGGCTGCTGCTGCAGCCGCCGCCGCAGGGGGAGGGACGGGGGGCACCAGCGGAGGGGATCGGAGCGGCGGGGGCCACCTGGGCAGTAGCCCCGTCGAGCAGGACCCTCTGCCCGAGTACAGCCTGGCGGCCAGCAGCAGCAGCAGCGCGTCTTCCCTCAGCTTGAGCCCTCAGGAGGGGCACCCTCAAGGCGGCGGCCGCTTGGCCTCTTGGTACCTCAACCAAGCCTCGGCAGTGGGAGACCTGACCCATTTGGCCCCGGCCTCGGCCGCAGCCCCGTCGGCCTCCCCCGCGTCGGCGGGCTACCCCGGCCAGCAGCAGAACTTCCACGCCGTAAGGGAAATGTTCGAGTCCTCGCAGCGGCTGGGTTTGAACAACTCTCCCGGCAATGGGGGCGGCGCGGCCAGCAGCTGCCAAATGGCCTTTCCCGCCAGCCAAACCCTTTATCGCCCTTCAGGCGCCTTCGTCTACGACTGCAGCAAGTTTTGACCGAAAGGAGCGGGAAGGGAGCGAGCCGCCGCCCGACCCGGCGGCCGCGCTCAGAAGGGAGGCCAAAGGAGCGGAGTGGCTACTAAGAACTTCACTTGGCCCTTCCAGCCGCCTTTCCCCACCAAACCAAAGAAAAGACTGTTCAGTACAAAGACAGCATTTGCCCAATAAATAATTAAGTCATGCTTTGTTAAAGGACAGTGTTACACCAATAACACGTAAGTTTGTATGCTTTTTTTTCCCTTTGCCTCTGAAAACTGTCTCCCCCCTCCCCCCCCAACAGCCCTCAAAAGATCCGCGGTTTAGCTTCCATCCCGCGCGCTTTCCTGCGCCAGCCTTCTTGGCTGCCTGCCCTGCGCTTGACTGGTGAGGTGCCGACCAAGGACGCGCATCCCCGCAACTGAGCGCGCAAGGCAGGTCAGCTGGCCAGCCAGAGAGGCCGCGGAACAAGGTTACCCCGGCGGCTCTGACACCGATGAGAGCTTTGCCATTGACTTCAGTGGGGCCCTCGCCACACTTAACAAGGCTCAGCGCCGTTTCAAAAATCAGAAGTTTGCCCATTGACTCCTACGCAACGTGGATTGCGCAGTACACGTGTTACTTCTCTCTCTCTTTCTCTCGCTCTCCCTGTAAGGGCTGTTTTATACGCAAAGACTTGTTTTAAAGTGTAAATGGAACATAGTAATTTATTTTTAAATCTGTCGTTGGATCGTTTGGACCAAACACCAAAAATGTTTTCCCTCTCCCATCAGAAAAGCTGACTTTAAAATGATCTGAAATGCTCATTTTTTTCTTCCATTATATAAGAAAAAGGGAAATTGTATTAATCTTATTTTATCATTTTATCATTTTCCTTTTTTTGTTGAAGATACCTTGAAGTTATTGACTTGTTTATTAATAAATTACCATTCAATTGGACCAAGAGCATTTATGTCTGGATATATTAATCCCTCTTTCTAAATTAATTTTTAAAAAATCTATAGCCAAAAACATGAATAATAGGATGTCTTGTATTTAGTGATAATCAAAACAATAGTTTTGTTTTTTTAAAAACCTACTGAGTTTAATAACTATATCTGCAAAACTTTTAAGCGCTAGCAAATCAATTTTAATTTATATCATTGCTGAGCTATTTTATCAATAAGTAAATACCATTGATTTCATCTATTTTACATTGATTTCAATGGAATGCACTGTCAGATGGACTTTGGATGAAGTTGAAAGTGGCATAAAACAAGTGCTCTTAATCAACCACTTTCTTGATAGAAGTGTTATTGTTACAGTTTTGAGATTTATGGTTATTGTATCTTTGGAGGCTAGGAGAAAAATTCACAAAAATCTGAGCTGCCAAACCATCACAATTGCTAGCATTAAAACTAAAGGTCAGGAGACATTTGGCTAATTGAACTTACAGGCATTGCCATATGACGCATAAAGGAAGGCGGCATTACAGAAGTCATAAAAAGATCCAGATACAAATAATGGGTGTATGTAAACCTGCTATTTTTAGCAGCATTTTCTGGTTTCACGTCTAAGTGCTTTTACACAGAAGTAAATCCCACTAATTTGATGCAGGACTTTTTTCCTGGGCAAGCGTGCATAAGATTGCATTGAACCTTTCTAAATGTAGGTCAGTATGTTTTTAATATATAGCTCTGTGTATGTGTGTGTGTGTGTACGTACTCCTAGTATGTAAAGCATTTTGCAGCCTATGGCTTTCTACCAATCATTTGTGCCTTAGCTTTCTTGACTGATTATTCATTTATGCACGACACTCTTAACTAAACTTTATCCCCCCCTTCCCCCCCCCTTCTAGACAAAGGGGCTGCTGTTAGGGTTGTTTTTTGGTTTTTTGTTTTAATTTTCAGACTGTTAAGAGTGAAAGCATCCAAGCCTAGAAGCATCATAAGGACTTCCAGTGTTATTGTGGTATAGATTTTCAGTCTACTTTTCTAGTCCACCAAAGCTAATGCCAAACACATTAGTTAGTCTCTAGATTCCACAAGACCACCGATGATTCTTGCAGGGACTGATTGTGAGTGGGAAGAATTTTTAAGGGCAACTAGCTCAACCCCATGGCCCCTGCTGCCCTGTCTACCAGTGGTTTGGATTCCCACCCACCTTCTTTCATAATTTTTCTGCCTTTTTTTTTCTTTCTTAAATAGAATAAATTGCCTTAGGGGATGGCTGCAGGAACATAAGGTTAAGTTTTGTCAAATGAAGAAGCTCACCTTCAGGTCAATCCCTGAACTGAGGAGTTTGAGGTATATGGAAAACTCCTTTTCACCTACAATAAATAACCAGAACAATGCAATCCACTCTTTTAGCAGGGAGCGATTGGTCAGCCATCAGAGGAGCAGCGAGGAGAGTTCCACTGCTAAGCCTCTGGCACAAATTTTCAAGAGAAGGCAACCTCCTATCAGCTGTTCTTATCTAAGGCAACACTTGGCAGTAATTGTCCCTGGATTGTTAAAGGCCACAAATAGTAAATAAATTCAGACTAATTTAATTAAGAATTAATCAGGCGCCTTCTCACCTCAGCTGGGCCTCCAAGGAGATAAGAAAAGAGGGGTCAAATATGGGGATGAATTGAATCTGTGTTTGGTGGTTTGGATTTTTATTTTTATTTCCACTAAGGAATTAATCACAAGTAATTGCAGTATTGCAGTAACTTATTAAAGTTTGTTTTCTTTAAAAAATGTTTTGAAGTATCAGAAGGACAACGCACTGAGGCTAAGCTGTGCAGGGTGATCTTGTATGTATTTTGAAGGGAATCATATTAAGTTACATGGGATTTAATCTCAAGAAAGGGATCACATGGGAATTTAAATTTTGTATTTATAGAATTTATCCTTGGTCTTGGGTAAATTCTTAATAACTTTTGAAATGAGATGGATTATATTTTAGTTTCTTGACTACAATCCAAAGAACATGGACTACAATTTTAAATTATAGTCAGATCCCTAAATTAGTTAATCTTGAAGGGAATCTTCAATACTTTGAAGGAACGAAATAGACCTACCTAAAATTTCAAATGCAAAATAGCTTGGTTTTAACAAGTTCTTTATATTGACCTGCGTCTCTTTTTAAGGCTGTGGGTGCTGCATCTAGCTGAACTGAGTGAAACAGATTTCATAGGTGAACCCTTAAGATATCTATGCCCAGCTAACTGGTTTTAGCTGGTCTCTGATAGCAGGCTTACCCAGTCCTGATGTAGAGAGAGCTGATGGCAGCAGGATCCTTTCTGGCTGGATTATACTATTCTTTTGACTGGCTTAAATATGGGTGTTGGAGGCAAGAATCCTCAGGCTTCTTCTAAACCATTTTGAATCAAGTATCAGCTCTGTACATTTTGTACAGTAAATGGATATAGAATATGTTATCAGAACCTCATAGTCTGACCAGAATCATGAAAGTGTAACAAGCAAAGGAAAGGTTGGGAGAAAGCCGTTGAGTTCAGTGGGGGCCAGAAAATTAAGTACAAGCTTGTGTTCAACTCCCATCACTGACATAATAAGGGTTTTATGTACTTTAAGTTTAGCTAGTTTGAGACCTTTGTGTTTGTTGTTGTACATACAGGGAGCCAAGGAAAAGAGAAGGAAATTGGACTGAAGGGGTGGGGGTGGCTATTGCCTTTCCGTTCAGTTTCAGCTTTGTTCAGAAGTGGGGTAGGAGAAACTCCTTAGGGCAACCTCAGAGGCAGTTGCCACCAGCGCTCCCCAGGTCCGCTCACAATTCAGCTTTCGGACTCCTGGGTAGGTACCATGTAAACCCCATTAGAATTCATGGAAAGCATTGTTGACCTTACCGAGCTTATGCAGAGAACAGAAACAAGCACTATGCTTAAGGCGGTTTTGTCTCTTCGGTCATTCATTATTTTGGACCAATGCCCCCCCTCTCCCCATTTCCTTCATGAGAGAAACCAGAGGGGCAGAAGGGGGAGGCTTTCTGTGAGTGCTCCTTTGCTGATTTAGTTGATTTCCAGTGGCACAAGCAACTTCCTGTCTTTCTAGCAGTCACAGCCAACTCTTTTGAGGATTAGATGCCTTGACAAAATACGTAGATTTGAGGAGGATAGGGGTTCTGTTTTACCCCAACTTTCCCCAAACAAGTGCCCTACAGCCACCATGTGGATTGGGAATGATATTAGGCCAACACATCTGGAGGGCACTTGGTTAAGAAAATGGTTTCAGTGCAGGCACAGAACTGACATGCAGGCCGCTTGGCTGATGCAATGCTCTTCCTTTACGCCAAGGCTTTCTGGAAGTGCCCTCCTCCCCCCCCCCCCCCCGAAAATCAGTGCAACTTGCTTCCCATGTGAAAGCAGTATAGTTCGGGTGCTGTTCTGGAGTCCAGCTGTTTCAAATGTCACTGAAATGTTTGATCTTGGGGAAGCAAGGAAGCCCTCTAGGATGGCCAGACTAGTAATACTTTTGGAAGGTGAACCTTCACTGGGTATAATAAGATCCCTTAGGGAGAAAAGGTGCATTAAGAGGTCTGGAGCAAAGGCAGCTTCCTTCACATAAGGACAACATGCCAGGACTAACTTGCAGATGTGCTTGCCCTGAAAAGGCCCCAGCAAAGACCATCCCTCTCTTAGTTGGCATTCAGGGAACTGGGAAATGTCTCGAAATCGCTGCTGCTGCCGCTGCTGCCAGGAGAACGGGAGAGTTAGCTATCCGGCAGCATCTCCAGCGTCGCTGGCATTGACAAGATCGGGCAAGCAAACCTTCCACTTCGGTGCGCTTGCAGACTGCAGCCCACCCAGCCCGACTGCTTTCAATAAAGGCCGGCCGAGGGGAGCCTGACAAGGTAACTCAGCAACTAGGCCGCTTCTTTCAGTTTCGCTCTTGATTGCTGTTTATTACTCAGTATTTACTCCTCAGCTGCTCCCCGCCCCCCCTTTGTTTTGATGACACACGTGCGAGAGGAGGAGGAGGAGGGAGGTCAATCACAGGTGGATCTGCCCGAGGGCCTTGTCCCTCACTCCTCCTCGCTCACGCGCCCCCACCCACCAGGGCGCAGCAGTGGGAAGAGAGTTCAGAAATCCGTCTTATGCGCGTGACGTTTGGGCCCGTGGGT